AAAGGAAAAATGAACAATAAAATAAATTTAAATAACTTTCTTGTTTTCCTTGCTTTAGGGTGACCTTATATAAGTCATAAATATATGTTTTAGCTTGGTGGTAGGCACTAACAAAGAAGTTTCCAAACTTTCTCAATTCACAGAGAACTAAGTGCCTTAGTCATTTCTTTCCAGGAGCTTCTAGGCCAAAAGAAATGCCTATTGGCTCTATTTATTAAGTGGATAGGTCCAAATAATTTAAGTATGTATGTCCTAACAATTTAGTAGCTGTTTAAAAAAATATTAATATATGAACTAGAAGAAAAAAGAATATTTATATCCCATTCTGAAATAACTAAAAGGAATTACAAATAGGATATGTGCGCCTATTGGATGCTGCACAACTTCTCAAGCCTGCAGATGAGATTGGATAGCGCCGCTCTCATTTTCAGCCAAAAACTCTGCTTTGCAGAGAAAGGGCATCGTCAGAAGGAAGATAGTGCAAACTGCCACGAACCACTGGCAGGACCGCTGTGAGCCAGTGGTTGTGGCATCAACCAGAGGTTGAGTATCACTTTATACTCTTTGAAATCTTAAACACTCACTGTTATGTCCCAGAGTGGCCTTGGTGCACAATTTGGGAACCAAATCTCTCACATCTATTTGACATTGTATTATGGTATATCGTAAAACTTTATTGGAAAACATTTGAGGACAAGGGGCATGTGTATTCTACAATATCTAATGTAGTTTCTTTTTCAATAATAAATGCCCCATAGATATGTACTTTTAGTGAGTCTATGATGTCATAGACTGCAAGATATATACTGATTTCTAGAGATGGTAAATTTTTTTTTAAAAAGCACTGTAAAATTAATGAAATACAGTAGTTATTTGAATAGGCTGGTGTGAGTTTATTACCCATGTCTGAGTCAGCGCTGCAATTTAATATTTACCCTTGTGATATCTATAAAATCAAAATCATCAGTGTCTTTATGGGCTGAAAACCCGATCGTAAAAATAAATCCTAAAACAACGGTGTTCAAATATGCCTTCTTCCCCAGCGCACACAAAACCAGTCATGTGCTCCCTACTGCTGTATTCCTGGAGGTGAAAGGGAATGAGCAGCCAGCACTGCCTTCTCCCCCTTGCTTTCATGAATTTTGAGTTTTATTTTCCTGTTCCCCACTGTTTACATGCTTATAACTCTCCTATGCACTCCGCAATTATGAGACTTTATACCTTGGTATTCTTGGTCTCTCAGTCATGAAAGGACAGGTATACTGCAGATCTAGGCTGTATTTTTCCCATCTACCCAATTCCTAAGAACCTCAGAGCCACCTGGAGAATGAAGCTACCCGGGCATGGCTGCGTGGCCTCTGGGGGGCCCCCACAGAGTGTCCGTAACCACTCAAAGACCCTATTCTTCAAACATGTAAACAGAGTCCTTAAGCTTTGCCTAATCAGAGTAAAATTTGTTTTAGAGCATAAGGTAAATAAATGTAAACATTTAAATATTAATGTTTGGGTGGAAAGCAATGTCTAATGGAAAGAAATGTCACATTGCAATAGTTCTTTTCTCTTTAGATGAATGGCCCTACCCAGACTCAAATTCACAGGAGGCAGATAACAGCCTGTTCAAGTTTTTATCACCTGACTTCCCAAGAATGGAGAGAGTCAGAGGAAAGGCTGGCCTGGAAAGAAGGAAGTCAGGGGTTATAATTTCTTACAGCTCCAGGCAGAGCCCAGCTCAGGCTGGGGGACAGGCGCGGTCTTTGGAAAGTGCTTCTCTCAGGGGACTCCGAGAGGTGAGGCACCGCCCCTGCTCCCATCTGTGGGTTCCAGCAGGCAGGATAAGCCGCCTCCCTGCTTTCCCAGGGAGCCCTTGCCATGGTCCCGTTCTTCCAGTACACAGGGACCTCCCAGCCCTTTGGGGCCCAGGAGTTAAGTGCCTGGCTGCTTAAACTCAGCACAGTGCCTGAAAAGATGGGCTCCCCAGGTACGAAGAACTCTCCAGCGCTACTAAAGCACATATAACAGTCCATGTTACACTTAGGTCTCACGTGGAGCTGCATCTTCAGCTCTGTCTTAAGGCCCTAATGTAGAGGGATGTCTGGAAGCCAAAGGAAGAAAGCCTTGTTACAAATACTGTGTTTGGAGTGATCCCTACATTTTATTATATTCAGCCAATATGTTTGTCTATTTCATCTAACACCATTTTCCTTACTTGGCTGTTTTATCTTCATGAGTGTTTTAGGCCTCAGTCCCCCGAAGCCGCCTGTTTTTCTTCTACTGCTGGTCCTAATTTCCGTTTTTGGGGAAATGTGTGATTCTTCTTGGCTGACACTGGGAAAGCCCCGAGGTAGCTTTACCTTGCACACCTACGCATTCTCTGGCCCTTTCCGCTTGAGGAAAATGGAGGAGGGGAAGCAGGAGTCCTGCCCTGGCAGCATGTGTCCTCTGTGCACGGTTCTCTCTGTGGGCAGGAGAGATCGTGACCATCCAGTGTGTATCTATCCGCAGGTCATGTCCACCCTGGGATGGGCTTTCCAGGTGGTTTCCTTGGCAACCAGACCTACTTATCCTCCCCCTTCTCTCCATTTACCAGTAACTGAAAAAAGCACATAGTTGACTTAGTGGAGTCACCAATACTAATATATTTTTATGAATCTACACAGGCTCTTCATACTTTAAAACTCACTTCTTAAAGGGACTAAACTTTTCCAGAATCATTTGAAAGTTGAAAAAAACAGGAACTTTTAAGACCAGAAGGACCTTCTGGATCTATTAGTCACTGTCCCATTTTACAAATGAGACCTACACCAGTGACCCAGACTGACGTAACTAGTTATGTAGAAGGGGGATCATGCCCTGGAGTCCTGTTCCCAGTCCTGGGCTCTTTCCACTGTACCGGGAGCCGCCTCCATTTTGAAACCACCGCCGGCCAGCAAACATGCCGTGTGGTTGGATCTGAGGACAAGGACCATCATTTCACATTGCTTTATGTGTCCTCTATCCCCTGGGACAGTGAGGACCAACAACAGGTACTCAGACCTTTTACTGATGCCTGACCTAAGTTTCCTCAACATGAATCGATGGTTATAATTCTAATGTGCAGTTGCTTGCTTCCTCCAAGAGAGGACATCTGTGAGTCTATTTATGAATAGTTAGCAGCCTTGTGCAGCGGAAGCACAGAAAATGCAGAAGTTCTAAAAACAGTGATACTGCTTTATCCCTGCGCCTTGCTGTGAAAGAGAGAATGTTCTAAGGCTATTTGTTCATCTTTGTACTTAACGTTGATGAATACCTACATCTTTTGGTGGCAAAGCAACACACAAAATGGGAACATATAAGTACATATAAACATTTAAAATTAATGTATGTGAGGTATGTAATAAAATGCCTCAAACTTGCATCCTTTACCTCAGGGATAGGAGGGTGTTGAGAATGGAGAATGGAGTTGTTGCTAATTCCATTGTTTTACTTAGCTCCTCAGTTATAATGGAGTAATCGGATACTTTAGAAAATTGAAGTCTATGTTCATTCTTCCATCCAGAGTAAATAAATGCCAGTTTTGTACCTTTCACATTATCCATGCGTTCATTTTGCACTCTCACCCATCATATTTTTAGCCACTTTCTTAGGCCTTTTCGTTGCCATCTTGGTTGTCGGTAAGCTGGCCTAGCCAAAATTCGAAATGGCTGCTTCAACAGGTAGAACCAGTTTCAGTTTATTTTTGACTGTCTCATTTTTCATCTTGAAATGGCCACTGAGCTTGACATTGCCTTTGGGGCAGAGAGTTTGATTCATTAACACGTTTCCTAGAAATTTTCTGGCTTCTTTTCTTTGGTCCTGCTTGCTTGTCCTTTGTAATTTGCTTTTATTTATTCTGAATTATATTCCATTTTTTGGTCACAGTATTCTCTCAACCAACAGAAGTTAAGCACTATTACAATTCTCTGAATTAATTTTAGCCTTACAGAGTCTCTTTCAGAAGCATGTAATTATTTTATCTTCACACAAATGATAGCTTCCTGAAATAACAATGAGTTATAAACATGACTCTCTGTGCATCGTAGTGAAGTCCCTTCTTCAGGCTGATTCTGAAGTTCCTCCCCCAAAGCAACCTGGATACGCTGTTCCAAGGAGGAGAAGTTTGAGTTGCATTCTGACTTCTAATTTGCTATGTTTGGTTACTGTGCATTAGCATATTCACTAAAACTGCATCTTCTGGCACGTTTTTATTTTTAAAAATTATTGGAAATTTAGAAAAGTGTTACATCTGAGAAATCAGCTGTGAGCTGTAGATCATAGCTAGTGTTATAATAAAATATATTTGTGTATTAAAACAGAAGCAAATCAGAGAGAAGAAGAATCCCGTTAGTTTTTTCTTCTTGCTGCTGTAACAAATTACCCCCAAATTTGGTGGCTTAAAACAATACAGATTTATTGTCTCAGAGTCTGGAGGTCAGAAGTCCCAAAATCAATTACACTGGGCTAAAATGAAGGTGTCAGCTGGGCTGGTTCTTTCTGGAAGTTCTGAGGGGAGAATTCATTTCCTTCACTCATATCACGACTCACTCTGATCTCTCCTTCTTTTACGCCACGTTAGACCTACCCACATAATCCAGAATAACCTCCCCATCTTGGGGTTTTGAAGTCAATCACATCTGCAAAGTCCCTTTTGCCACATAAGGTTATACTTTCACAAATGGTTCTGGGGATGATGAAGTGGACATCTTTGGAAGCCATCATTCAGCTGCCTAAAAGACCATGACTTCTCTCTCTGGTGGCAGTTTCTTTGGGCTGGTATGATGGGGTGGGGAAATGTTTGTAGGTGGTCCTGCCAGTGCCCCTGCAACCACCCCACGCCCAGCTTCCTGCCTGCAGCTCCCTGCGTGGCAGCCAGGCCTCAGCTGCCTCCACGGGACTGTCAGGCATGTCACATAGTGCTCTAGGATACACTACTGTCCCCAAGATACCAGCTGCCCTTTCTCACCCTGTTTTTCTTTCCTTTTCAGCATTGTGGTAGTGCCGGGAGGCCAGTGTGTCAGCAAGCTGAGAGGGAAACTGAGGCAAGATGTCGGGCCGGAGCGGGAAGAAGAAAATGTCCAAGCTGTCCCGTTCAGCCAGGGCCGGAGTCATCTTCCCCGTGGGGAGGCTGATGCGTTACCTGAAGAAAGGGACGTTCAAGTACCGGATCAGCGTGGGTGCTCCCGTGTACATGGCGGCAGTCATCGAGTACCTGGCAGGTAATGCGACTTCGAGGGCCAGGCAACCCACTCCCAGATCGCACCCTCCCCTCCGCCCCACCCACAGGCTGGGAGGGGTGCTGTCTCAAGCCCGCTGTGGTGGGTGACTGGTGTCAGCTAGCCGGCTCCGCTAAAACCCATTTCTGCGGGCTTTGGGGGAAAGAACGGGGCAGAAGGGGGGCGGATGATCAACACAGGAGGAAGAGAGGCCACAATAGAGTGGCTTTTCCACACCAACCCTGAAAAGGTGTGTCTTGTTTAAGCAAACACAATGTGTAAAAATCTAGGCTCCCAGAAAAGAGAAACTACGGGGACGAGGGGTTGCTATTCATTTTGTAAAAGGGGTCCTCGCTTTACATCAAAGGCCTCGTTAAACATCAGTTCTCCTGGTGTGTTGAAACTAGGACTCAGTGTCCATAAATAACATTGACCAGAGCATCAGAAGCATCTTCGGTTGGTTCCATGAAGCCAGTAATGTTCTTTACAATGGTGGTTCTCTGTCTATAATGGGTACATGGGAAATAGTTGTCCACATTGGTTGTTAAAATTTTTTTTTTTTTTTTACTAAGAGGTGAGTTTTGCTATGTGTTCTCTATATATTTGAGCAACTTTCTATTTCATTTTTGTCATTGTTGTACTCTTATGTCTTAAACAAATCATACTTCACAATTTCAAGGATGCTTTAAAAATATTTATGAATATATAAAAATAAAAATATATCTAAATAAGTGTGATTAGTTCATTGAAAGGGTCCTTGTAGACATTAGCAATAATGCCTCTGACTCTGCCCGTGGTTAACAAATTCCCCAGACCCCAGGGTTAAGTCCCTTGGGAAGCCCACCTGAGGGGAAAGAGCAAACCTCCCCCAACTGTCTACCTGGAAGCTGAGCCCCCTGCAGCCACAGCATGAAAACCCCCAGGTGTGGCAGGGCTGGACCCAGCTTCTGTCCCAGGTCCCTCTTCTCATCCTGCTTCTTCCTCAAGAACAATCTCTTCCTCTTTAAATGTATGGCCTTATTGTGTCCTCTTGATCCCTTGTCACTCACCGAGCAACATCACTGATGAAAGGTTTGCCTTGATCCACGCCCGGAAACCTTGTCCCCCTGGACCATCTATCTGTCAGGCAGGCAGACCTCAGCACCGTGAGCCTGTCCCCTATTGTGGAATGAAAGGCTTGTTCCTGGGCTAAAGGTTTTCCAGGAGGGTCCTTTAGGAGGTTGGAGAGAAGGGCTGGAAGGCTCCGAAAGTCGACTGACTCAAGTGTGATAGAGCAGTGCTTTTCAAAGTGGGATTGCTCTGGGGATCCTGTTGACAAGGTCTGGGGTGGGGCCTGAGACTCTGCATTTCTAACAAGCTCCCAGGTAATGCCGATGCTGCTGGTTTAAGGACTGCTCAGAGGAGCAAGATGGTAGCCTGCCTTATAGCAACAGGCCTAAAGGCTTGAGGAATGCTTAAAATGTACGTTCCGGGTAGCTCAGTTGGTTAGAGCATCATCTGCATACACCAAGATTGTGGGTTCAATTCCTGGTCAGGGCACATACAAGAAGCAACCAATGAATGTGTAAATAAGCGGAGCAACAAATCACTGTCTCTCTCTCTCTCTCTCTCTCTCTCTCAATCAATCAATCAATAAAATAAAAGTAAAAAAAATAAAAATAAAACTTTCAAGAAAAATAAAATTCAAGTTCCTGGCTGCACCCCTCCCCCGGTGGTCTGATTCACTGGGTCTGGGGTAGAACCCAGAAATCTGCTGGAAAAACCTGCTGACTCCGGGATGGAGAGGAAGGACTCTGAAAAAGGTGAATGCAATTTTAAAGCAGTCTGTTAGGCCCCTGTCACCCACTGAGACCAGAAACCACTTGAATGACCCAGAGACCCCACAGCCTCTAAGCAGGGAGCTGGGGTTCCCTGTGGCCTTTCGACCCCCAGCCGTGCATTTTCTGCTCTACTACACTGCCCCATTATAACGTTGTGTTACTAAAGTAATTAAATACTTTCTGTGTCTCCACTTGGCAAAAGTCCAAACTTATAATAAAACAAAATTTGGCCTTTTGAATCATTGGCATCTTTGTTCATCTTTGGTTCAGATAAAAGCTTACGTTTTCCTATTTATTTATTTATTTATTCAGCAAATATCTGTTAATCATCTACATGTCAGTTCACACACTAAGTCCTCAGACTACTCTCTAGCAATAGAACTGGACCACTGAAATGATTTTTAATTTGTCTTGGATTTGAGCCCCCAGTTGCCTCCATAGCAATGCCTACTATAGCCTGAAAGTCACACTCTGACTTTGAGCCAGCAGGTCTTTAAAGATTTGTAGTATCTCCCAAAGTAGAGCGCCATCCTATTTCTCAGTTGAGTTCTTATAATCCTCCATTCACTCAGCAGTTACTGAGCACCTACCGTGTGCCCAGTGCTCTAGATGCTGAGGATACAGCAGAGACCGAGACAGACAGGAAGCCCTGCCCTCCAGCAGGATGTGCCTCAGGGGAGAAGCAAATAAGTAAGTGGAGTGCCCGTGCTACGTCAGACGGCGCGAAGCGCTGGGGACAAATAAAGCAAAAAGAAAGGATGGATAGGGTGTTCCAGGAAGGGGCGGGGACGGGGGTTGTAAAGGCCCTACTGAGGGGGCGGTGGCTGTGAAGGACGCCAGGGTGTGGGCCTGCAGGTGTGTGGGGGCGGCTGCACCACCTGAGGGAAGGCCGGTGCTGGGAGTGTTGGGGGAACAGCAGCGGGGAGGAGAGCTGGAGCTGAGGGAGAGGGCTTGGGCTGTAGATGAGGCCAGAGGGAGAGTGGGCTGGTGAGGGGAATAAGAGCTAGCAATGGGGGCTCTGCAGGGTTTTGAGCAGAAGCGGAAGTGATCTGTTGGGGACCAGGGGAGAGGTACAAGGGTGGGAGCAGGGGAAGCAACTGGAAGGTATCGCAGAGGTCCAGTGAGAGATGTGGTGGGGAGTGCGCAGCAAAGGCACAGAGACGTGATCAGAGCGCTGATCTATTCTGAAGGCAAAGTCAACAGGATTTACTAATGGGTTGCATGTGAAATAGAATGAGCACCTGGAAGGGTGCTGTTGCCATTTACATCCTCCCTCTCAACCCCCTCACAGCCAGTCCCAGCATGCAGTGCCTTCCTTGGTCAAACAGAGAAGGTGAAGTTGGTCTTTTGAGGCTCAGGCCTGTCTTCTCTGTGTCTCTTCCCTTCCTTTTGTGCATTTTCTCCCCTCCAAACTCAGGCTGGAGTTAAGAGAAAGCACTGGCTTGGTTAGATGTCAGTTTAAATCTGGTTTATCAGCTTACCAGCTTGGTTACCTTGGGCTAATTCCTGAATCTCTCTGAGCTTCAGACATATAAAAATGCCTGGTGCATAGGATGCACTAAATACATGGTAATTCTTCTCTCCCTTCTATTAAGAGCTGATGAAATTATTCAGGGCAAAATACAATGACTAAATCTGTTAAAGTGTATTTTGGGGCTGTATTTGCATTTTAATTAGACAAGGAGTTTTAAGCCAAAGAAGTGAATCATTATTAGTGAAATTTCAGGCTGTCGTTGAATAAGTAAGGGGGTCAGGGGGTGTTAGTTGGTTTCTTTCTTGTTGTTTTGGAGGAGGCATCAATTGATTTTGTTTAGGAAAGGGCGCTCACACTGTGACAGCCTCCTGTCACCCTTGAAATGAGCTTCAGCATTCAAGACACAAATATGACTGAATTTTTCCTTGAAGATACACACGGCAGAAAACAGGCAGCCATGACCTTGCCTTCGCCAGGCTTACCTCCCAGGAGGGCAGACGAGAATGGAGCACAGCACAATAAGGTAGCACGCGTGCTGGGCAGAGAAGTTAGAGGGGCTCTGGGCAGGGGCGGGGCGGGCACCAGGGTGGCTTCCTAATGTAAGGCAAGGGTTTTAAGACCTAAACCCTGGTTGTTCTCAAATTGATTGACTGAAAATCTCGATGCCTGGGTCTCAATTCCAGAGATTCTGGAATATGTTCTGGGCACCAGGGTTTGTTTGGGTTTTTTTTTTTTTTTTTTTGAAAGCTCCCCCAAATGATTCTTATAGGCAGCCGAATGGGGGAAGGGGCGTCAAGGTCAGCTCAAGCCCTTCAGCCTTGGCTGGCAAGTTCCTTTCAAGCCAAGCTGGGTAGGCTGAGGTGTGGAGATGTGGACTTGGAGACGAGAGGGCGGAGAACTTGTATGAGGAGTCTGGCCGACGGGGAGAGAAGAAAGGACAGGAGCCAGTGCGTGGAGAATGGTGCCTGTAGCTGAAGTAGGAAACAGCGGAGGAGCAACAGGACGCAGGGTAAGGGGCTCGGTTTGGGAGCTGGATGATTTTGGTGTCTACAAGATGCCCAGGCAGGTGAAGAGGTAAGGGATGCTGGATTCTGGCCCTTATCGGCCTAGAACCGTTAGGTATGTCACCTCACTCTCATAGCGTCATTGTGAGGATTACGTGAGATAATGCAAGAAAAGTGCTTAGCGCCGCTCCAGGCACATGGTGGCGACCTAGTCCAAGCAGCAAGTGCTGCTCCCAGGAGGGAGCATTAGGCTGGAGCTGTAGATGGGGCCTCTTGGGCAGACTTCAGTGAAGGCCATGGGAGTGAGTGAGGACACCCAAAGAGGGCACAGTGACAGGACTGGAGAGCTCAGGACCGTTTAACAGTGCGTCCGGGTTTATGGGCCAGGTAGGGGGCAATAGGTGTTAAAGGAGGCAGAGAAGGGCAGCCAGAGGTTAAGGAGAAAAGCATAAGAGTCAGTCTCTACAGACCAAGAGAAGGAGAAGGAGTCAGTAACCATCAGGGGTCATGGTTATGAAACCAGGCAAGGACAACAGATCTAGCCACCTCAAGGTCATGGCAACCTCAGCAAGGATGGTATGGGTGGTCAAAGCCAAATGGGCTGAGGAGCAGAAGGTGTGGGAAGGAGACTAAGTGGGTGAGGACTCTTCTAGGGAGTTTAGCCCAGAAGAAGGGAAGTGAGGGGACGGCAGCCGGTGGGGTGGG